CGCCTCCCTGCCTCTCGGGGCAAGTTGCCACTCTACCACTCAACTTGGCTGGCCATAGTTTCCTTGAGTGTCAATGGGGTCTGGACAACACAAGCAAACAACCCCTTCCTTTGCGGGCTTTCTTTTGGAACTAAAGATTTGGGGCTAAGCACCCAGAACTTCCAATGGGCACTCCCGAAAGAAAGATCCAGGGCCGAAACCCCACCTCTCCCGGGTTTCACCTGTCTTTCAAGGCAAAACAACACAAGAACACATCGCTGCTGAACATCGTCCCCGCCTTCCATCACCAAAGGCTGCGAAATCGCAAAGGTCGAATCGTGCTTTGATGCTGGGCTCAAATGACCTGGAAATCAATGCTAAACCTTTTCAGCTTGCGAGGTCTGCGTTGGACAGGACGTCTACTTGATCTTCCAAGAGAAACATGAGCACCTCGGCGATTCCTCAAAACGGATTCGTGAAGTGGCTGGTGTCCTTACAGTTCCCCTTGCAAACACTATCCAAAGCTTCCAGTTGCGTGGGCCGTGAAAAAACAACATCTCTAAGGGCCATGACCGCTTCTCCTTGCAAGGCCGACCCTTTTTCTTCGGGATTTTTGTCCGACGGTTGTGGGACTTTTTTTCCGGTCTATTTTGGAGTGGAGTAAGGTGGGTTTAGGTTGCTCTTGGGGTCTTAAAATTAGCCTGGTCCTTGGGGTGGGTTAGGGTGCGGTTCGGGGGTTAAGGGTTTAGAGGGTGGCTTTAAGGCGGTTTATGGTGCGTGGGGATGCATTTAGAGTTGTTTGGAGTGGGTTTAGTTGGGTTTAGGGCTCGCACGTGGGTTTAGGGTTTATGTGGTTTAGGGTGGGTTTAGGGTGGGTTTAGGGTGGGTTTAGGGGGGGTTTAGGGTGGGTTTAGGGTGGGTTTAGGGTGGGTTTAGGGTGGGTTTAGGGTGGGTTTAGGGAGGGTTTAGGGTGGGTTTAGGGTGGGTTTAGGGTGAGTTTAGGGTGGGTCTAGGGTGGGTTTAGGGTGGGTTAGGGTTCAGTGTTGGCTTAGGGTGGTTTAGGGTTGGTTTAGGGTGGGTTCTAGCAGGGGTTAGATGGAGTTTGGGTTGGTTTAGTTAAGGATTGAGTGGGTTTAGGGTGGGCTCGGTGTGGGGTGGTTGGGGTGGATCGGTTTTGTAGGTTTAGGGTAGATTTAGAACAGGTTTAGGGCGGGGTGGTTTCAGGTAGGCTTCGGGTGGGTTTAGGGTCTACGGGAGTTTAGGGTGGTTTAGGGTATTTTAGGGTGGGTTTGGGGTAGGGCGGGTTCAGGGTGGGTTTAAGGTAGGGCGTGTTGTTTGGGCGGGTTTGGGTTCTTAGGGTGGGTTTAGGGGGGGCTTCAGGTGGGTTTAGGGCGCGTTGCGGGCTGCCTCAGCGTGGGCTGGGGGGGGGTTAGGGTGTGTTCAGGGGTTGCTTTCTGGTGCGTTTAGGGTGGTTTAGGGCTGGTTTAGGGTGGGTTCAGATGGAGTTTGGGTTGGAGGGGTTAGTTTAGTTCAGGATTACGGCCGGGCTTAGATTGGATTTAGGATGGGTTTAGGGTTTTTGGGGTTCAAGGTACGCTCAAGGTAGGCTTAAGGTATGTTCATTAGGGTAGGTTTGTTGCTTGCTTGCTCGCTCGTATTTGCTTTTTCTCCAGTGGGAAAACAAACCTTCGATAATATATGGCACCCTCCTTAAAAAACCACGAAGATATGCAACCCTGCCCTTGAGCAAGTGGAAGGGATGATAAGGCACTGATGGCAAGTTGCCCAAGTCCAGGTGACGAATTTGGGTCTTCCGTTGAATCCAGAAGGAAACCACCCAGAATTGCCTGAACCATGGTCTCGCCATGCGGGAGTGTTCAGCTTCTCTTGGGCAAAAAGCAGGCGAGAGGCGCGCACAAGTCAGGGCACGGCAAGGATCCCTGACAGCTCCTTGCATTGGAAGCATTTCCAAACCCGAAATTCTAGGGGTTGATTCCTTTTCCATTCTTTTCAGCCATCGTTCTTTTCATGAACCAGCCATTTCCCCGGGGTTTTTGGTGGTTTTCTAGAAAGAAGGATCCCTGGAAAGAATGGGGCCTAGTTAAATAAGGGAATGCCACTAGTACAGGACCTCGGTGAGCTCGTTCTACCCGCAAGCGCGCAATGATTTGGTCAGTTTATATCCCCCTTGCCGTGACCTACCTCAGCTACATGTTTGGATTCTGGTCCATATTAGACACCCCCCGCACCCCGGCAGTCAAGTAAGAGGATGAACGCCCACTTAAGAGGAATCAAGACACGACACGGATCGCTTTTGGGGGTTGATTCCACATGAAAATCGCAAGGTTTCTCTGAGTTTCACTTGAACTTAGAGTGAGTTGGCAACTGAAAAGTCCAAACTTTAGCTGTCCAAAGCCCAACTTGGAAAGTGAGCCATCCAAAGCATCTCCCCGGAAA